TTTTTTATATCAAGCAACAATTGGCTGAAAATGAGAAAATCAATTCGGTTTGATTCGGCAATAGCATAAGAGAAAATGGGCTAGTTTTGGGAGCTTCTTCAATGGAGAGTGGACCAGCAGGCTGCCTTAAAACCAAGACTGATTCATCCATTTACATATGTTTTGGGCCACGCAACGCCAGCCAATCTTTCCGATGAACCCAAACCGACCCACCTATTTAATTATTTATTATTAGCACTTCAAAATTGTTTGAGATATTACCAGCATGGCAATTTAAACCTGAAAAGGAAGAAAATAAATTGAGGAATTAAAGAAACAAATATTGTTCAATTTTTTTTATTTATTTGGATACATATATATGAAGCTAAATGAAGCAACTAATGTCTTAGGAACGGAGTCACCCCATGATATCCCCTCCCAAGATTAGTCCTACTCCAGCTAGCGAATCCAAAAAATGCAAATATTGTTCAATGAAATGTCCAGTTGTCGTCCTCAAAATGCAATCAGTCTGAGTTTTGTGCATATGCTGCATGTGATTCATTGTCTCATAAACAAGTATCCTTCAAGGTTTATTAACATCGTATTTATATCCATGAGACTAGAGCAAGGGGAAAGATGTGGAGTCAGCAATTCTCATGCAATTAATTAATGGGTTTTTTTTTTTTGTTGAACCTCACCAAGCGGTCTGATGACCGCGTATCTCATTGAGGTCGGTGAACTGTTCATTACATATGGAGATCAAATTTTTGGTTATTAACATTTAATAATACTAATCTACTAACAATTATCCTTATAAAAAAATAAAAAAATAAAATTAATGAGTTTTTTTTATTTGTATCTTAAAATTATTTTTTGTTATAAAATTATATAAAAAATATAAAAATTGATATTCATATTACCATATTAGTATTATTTTTATATAAATAAATTTAATTAGATAATTAATAAATTAAAAATTAATTTGTTTTTTTAAACCTAAATTTATTATAAAAATTTATTTATAACATTTTTAAAATATATGTTAGAAAAATATTTAATTAATTTATTAAGGGCATGTGCTGACTTTGGTGGCAATCGTTAGTAGCAATTAATGTCATCTGTTTTTCTGGGGTGTGGGGAATGATGTTTTCGTTATATGGGTACAGTTCTTGTTAGGTTTCTCGCGAAGCCTGCGAGGAAATGTAAGAGTGATGGGGAATGGAAAATGTCAGTCAAGTATTTAAGGCAACTACTGGTCAGTCACGTATTTAGGACAACTACTACTGGTTATTGTCTTTGGCTTTTGTGTTTTGGCCCTTGACTAGTAGTATGCGTTATCAGAAACATCAATTAAGTTAGGATACACGGTGAGTTCAGCACGTGGTGGTTTATTGATTATTTTATTAATTTATTGATAATTTTAATGAAAAAAGTGTTTAAATATCTAAAATTTAAATTTTATATCTATTTTTTTTTCTTGAAATTTCTTACTATCAAAAGAAAAAAAAAGGGTTAGGATATGCGTCAACAGAAACATCGATTACGTTAGGCTACCAAACTAAATAAATGACTTCAAAGTACAAACAATCCTGGATGCGTATATAAGCCCTGACTATTCTCTTCATCAAATTAAGCCTCATACCGCGGAAGGAAATGAAATGGGATCGGATAGCCAGCCTACTATTTACCTAATTAATTGATCCAAAGTCATCCCACATGTGCATGGTTCATATCATATCTTATATCTTTTCCAATTTGATAATGACAAATAGTTACAAGATAACATATAATTATATTATTAAATGAATAAATATAATATTAATGATATATTCATAAATAAAAATACTCAATTATACAATTGATAAATTAGAATTGTAAAATTTCAACACTGGCTAGCTAGAGAGAGGGGTCCACGAGGAATCAACTATTTTGAACTTTGTAAGTAGTTCATCAAGGCATTAAACTTGGGTCCCCATAATGTTGGATAAACTCTTGACTCTTCTCAGCCATCCAAGCCGCCTAAAGAACCCTTACATTTTATTTGAATAAAAGAAAAATTATTTAGGCAAAAACCAAAATTGAGCCCCTTACCTTACAAAATTAATAGGTTTTAGTCCTTCACCTTATAATATAATATGACATTTTTAGCCATTTACCTTACAAATTTGATAGGTTTTACCCTCTTACCTTACAAAGTTGGTAAGTTTTAACCTCTCATCTTACATTATGACATTTTTAGCCCATCACCTATACGAATTGAAGAAAATAACCCTCACCTAATATTAAATTATAACATTTTGTTAATTTTGTTAGTTGACTGTTAATATCTGTTAGCATTTCATTATAGAAAATATAAAATTTAAATTCAATTTTATTTGTTAGTTCCATCAATGAAATGTTAACGGATACTAACAATCAGCTAATAAAACTAACAGAACATTATAATTTGATATTAAGTGGAAGTTATTTTCTTCAATTCGTATAAATAAGGGGTTAAAAGTGTCTTAGTATAAGGTGAGAGGCTAAAACCTACCAATTTTGTAAGGTGAAAAGTTAAAACTTACAAATTTTGTAAGGTAAAAGGTTAAAAATGTCATATTATAAAGTTAAAGGTTAAAACTTATCAATATTATAAGATGAGGGGCTCAAAATTGATTTTAGCCAAATTATTTGGTGTCCATCGCTGATTGAGAAAGGTGATATAATTAGACTGTGTTTAGAATATCAAAATCTTGGTTCAAATCCAAACATTCACTCTTGTCAAGTTCTCCAGTTCAAAAGAAAGAATAATTATTTGGCACTTCGTAAATATAGTACTACTAAATACTATATGCAAAAGTTTTACACCAGAACTTGAACTACTCATCTCCACCCACCTGGTAGTTCCAAGTTACAAACATACAAATCAAATTAACCAAAAGAAAAAAATAATAATAATAACAAGAATAGAACATCTCTCTTCCCGCCAAACAGAACCTTAGCTTCCCTTCACCGCCTCTTGTTCTTGCTTCCCATCAACAAAGAAAAGTAAAATAGAATCCTGAACAAGAATCCCCATGCTATTGTCACCCACAGGCAATTCCACTTACTCAGATCAGTGATTCCTTGCTGCTGCAGGATGTCGTGCCCGGTTGTCAGGCATGTTGAGCTCGTAATTGGAACTCCAATTGTATTGCTCATACTTTGCAACAGCTTCACTTTCATGGACGTTGGAACTGCACGCAACGGCGTGTTATCGAAGATCTGAACTCCCCTGACGAAGCATTTAATCGGGTCGTTGAATTCATTCTGCAGAACTGCCTCGTATGGGTACTTAACCAGGGACATGTAATGGAACCAGATCCAATACGGTGGGATCCGGTCACGGTTGATGAAGAAGCCGCTAAAGAGTAGGAAGTAGGCTAAAATGGCTACGACGATGGTGTAGCCGAGCATCACGTGGGGGACGACACCGGAGAGGAATGTGACGAATGAACTTCCGGCCCAGAATGCGGCTAAGATGATTAGGAAATAAAACAAGAATCCAGAAAATCCACCATCAAGTCCAACTGCCCAAAATGTGGTGGCGGAGAAAGCAAGTGAGAGGAAAATTAATCCAGGTAAGGCTACCAAGGCGTTGGATAAGCAGTAGGATGATCTCCGGTAAGCGTTATAGGCGGTTTCTCTCATGAAAATGTGTCGTTCTTGGAGGAAGACGGGAAGTGCGTCGGCGCAGGTGTAGAATGTGGTGGACATGGCGAAGGCGAAGAATCCTAACCTTTCTTGCACTCCTTTGGGGGAATTATCAAGTCGCCAAAACATTGTTGCGAGAATAAATCCGGTAACCAAAACAGCACCCAATCTGATTCCGAACAGCTCCGGCATCCTCCGGCCGTTGGTTACGGACCTTTTTGACAACACCACCATTTCTTTCCAAAATGGGTTTGCAAATGTTGGCACCATGGAAGAGGAGCTGGCGTCGTTGGTGGCGCCGGGAACTAATTTCCCTCTGGAAATGCTGGCGCTTATTGCTTCCTTCAGGGACAGACCTTGCTGCTCGGCTGGTTCAGTGTTTCTTGGGTGTTTCATGTTTTCCCAAGATTTGTTGAATTCGACTAGACTTTTCGTTCCTCCAGGAGATCCTTCGAGCTCGCGAATTAGGTCCAGTGCGAACTCCGTTTTGTTCTCGTTCTCTGGGATTGGATGCCCAAATTCGGAGAAAAACAGAGGAAGGTGAATCGGAGAACCACTGTATACAGTCTGCCCTCGGGATAAAAATATCAAACGGTCCAGTAACCCCAGAATCCGATAACTCGGCTGGTGAATCGACATTATCACTATGCTCCCACTCTGTGCAATCCTCTGCAGAACCTTCACCACCATGAATGCGCTGGTTGAGTCCAGCCCTGAAGTGGGTTCATCCAGAAAGAGGATAATGGGATCATGGATTATGTCGATCCCAATGGAGACTCGGCGGCGTTCTCCACCGGAGACACCACGGTGACCTTCATCTCCAATAACGGTTTTAGCGGCGTTTCTGAGGCCTAATTGATCGATTAGAGCTTGAACACGCATCTTCTTTTTGGATTTGGATAAAGTCCGAGGAAGTCGGAATTCGGCAGCGAACATCAACGTTTCTTCCACCGTAAGCATCGGAAACAGCAAATCATCCTGCATCACGTAAGCGGAAATCACTTTCAGCATCCGCGACTCCATAGCTTCACCGTTTAGAGTGACAGTCCCTTTCAAGCTCCCTTTCGCCATTCTGTTAGCCAGAGCGTCAATGAGTGTTGACTTCCCTGACCCACTGGCACCAAGCACGGCAAGAATCTCGCCATCACGAGCCTCACCGGAGATATCGTTAAGCAGCGTCTTCGTCCTGCTGAAAAAACTCTCCCCATCCAGTGAATCCGCAGCGGCAGGTGGCTGTCGCGGCCCTCTCATGAACGCCGGAAGCCTTATCTTCCGGCCAACCTTGACACTGTACGTAAGGTTGTTGAACGAAAGCACAAAAGGAATCGACCGCGGCTCGTCGATGTCCACTAAGACAGGATGCACCGGAGTTTCATCTCCGGTAACCTCCTTCCGAACGTCTCCCACTCGCTTCAGCAACTGGCCAAGCGAAAGCGAAGTCGAGGCGGGGTTGATGCGTGGGAGTCCCGAGGAGAGCTCCATGGAATATCCGAAGAAGGCGGAAGTATCTCTCTCAGGTAATATATTCTCCGCAACAACGCGGGACATTGGATGCACGATATGTCGAATAAATCAGGAAATTTATAGGAAATTGAATATAACGTTAATGGGGTGATCTCAGGGTGTGGTGTTGGAGGCATGCAATAACTGCACTCAGCGTTTTCCACGAGCGCCGCCGGATGGAAGAGGAAAAGTAAAGGGAAGTGTCCTGGTTTTGAATTGACACGTTTTGCGTTTTTTTGGGAATGAGAAAAATCTATATATAGAAAAATAAGAGATAAAATGTGAAAAGAGCTTACAGTTGGGTGATAAATATAGATTTTTTTATTTTTATTTTTTGTGTTTTTTAATGTTGAGGGTGAAGAGAAAGGTGACCTAAATCATCTAATATGATGTCCATACGTCTCGTTTTCTTGGAGGAAACAAGGGAGGACATGCGAGGTACCGTGATTGGTGGAATTCTAGTTTGAATCAAGGATGTGTTGACACGTGGGAAAATGGGGTTTGGGGTTTAAGGGATTAGGTTGGGTGTTGATCTACTGTGGTATGTGGCGTAAGCGTTGATTTTTGGTTTTGGTCTAAGCATAAGCAGCTAGCCAGATAGTTAGGTTAATTAATGGCTTAATGCAGAAATATTGAGAGAAAATGTTGTTGTAAGGAATAATAATAATGATATATATATTGGTTAAAAGCAAAGTAGGTTTGAAAGCTTCAATTCATGGGAGTCGGATGATCTACCACAAGATAAGCCTAGTTTCCCAAATTAGCAGGGAGTTTATAAAGTTTGATGGTTTTTCTCAAGTTCTTGGATGGCCAAAAATAACATATTGATCTTGGATCTATCTTGGAATTGGCTACTCCATTTTGTTTTTTTATTTATTGCCTTTTTTCTTGTGTGGTACATCTACTTCATCTGTTAATGTTACGCAGAAATGGATTAAAAATTAAGATCAACGTTGCATCACGAGTAGCCCTGTAGAATATCATAAATCTCTATGTTTACAAAATGGGATTTGCTTAAGAAATTGATTTTACTTTTATAAATGTATATTTAATTCGTTATGTGTTATCAAACAAATGAATCTTATTGAATTAAAAGAATCAATCACAATTAGATTTAATTATAAGATAAGATTATGTGAATTATCTTCTTTTATCTGTATGCTTTCATAGAAGATGATCCTTACTTAGTCCTAAATCCATACACAGTTAAATGGAGTTTGTGCTTTGGATGGGGGTTCTTTGGTGCCACTGTTTACAAAAGGGAAACCCAGCACTGATCAGTTGCTTCCCTTTCAACTAAAAGGTACCCCAAGTAAATGTTTGCCTATTCTAGAGGTTTGCTTGCAAAGTAAGGAATTTAGTGTCCACTCTGAACTTTCGTGCCATAATCTAGAAGTTGTCCTTAATAATACATGTTGTTTAAATTTGTTAGCTAATTTAATGAGTTCTGTAAAAATCTTGAAATAAAGGAGTACATTCTTCTCTGCCTTGTGCAATCTAATAATTGAATTATAACAAGTTAACAACACATATCATCATCGCTGTTGTCATTATCATCGTTAATTTAAATTCCAAAATAATAAGAACATTTTCATACTTCAAACAAGAACCCTAGACTAATTTCCCTTTCAAAAGGGAAGGATATGTTCTAGAATAATGTCAAGCAAACCATGAGAGAAGCCTTGAATAATAAGGTTTTGAATAAATACTAGGACTTGATTAAAAGTTATTGAAAGAGAAGGGTTGTCAATCAGACGTATACTCAATCTTTGTCTCCTAAAAAGGCAAGAGACGAAGATAAATGGGAAACCAAGATACTGAAAATGTTTCAAGAGTAGTGAACTGTAGGTAGTTAATGCAATAATGCTAGACCAGACTGGCCACCGTTTCCTTGCCAAATAGCACGCTATGTAGCTAACTAACTTGTACCTAAAATGCAGGTTGTCAAAGATCAAAAGTCAAAAAATAATCACTCACGCTACTTTCTTCTCGTTTCACCCTGCCTCCACCCTAGGTCTCCTTCTCCCTTACCAACGCAAGGAAAAACGGAACACGAGGCTTCGCTTAGAAATGTTGAACGATGCTTTGACTTTTATTCTTGTTTTTTGTTTTTCTTTTTACTATCTTAATAAAAAATATATATATTATTAATTAAAATAAATATTAAATATATTTCATATAGTTCTGAAATATTAAAAAACTAATAATCTACTGTTACAACAAAATCCAGTGTTTACAAATGAAGCCCAAGGAATAAGGTTTGGACGCTTTGATAGTAACAACAACTACAGCCAATCTCTGAGTAACTAAAGGCAGTTAATAACATAATGCCAGGCTAGTATGCCAAATTATTAGAGTCAAATTTCTGTTCAGTATCAGCAGCTATTTCAACTTTCAAGAGAAAATGGAACTTGTGTTTTCGGTGTTACCTGATTTTTCTCAACTGAAGAATTAACATATTCTCGATTTACCTGATTTTTCTCAACTGAAGAATTAACATATTCTCGATTTACCTAATTTTTCTCAAAAGGGATAAACATATTCTCAAGTTCAAAAAAGAGAACCATCAAATAACAATGACCAATACAATAAAGCAGCAGTTACAAACTCCTAGTTTGCAAAAAGTGCTAGGTGATGATGGGCCATTACCCATAACCTAGAATTTAAAGTGTATAAACAGTACCAAGTGATTTTAAAAAAAAATGTAATTATAAAAAAAGAAAAAAATGTAAAATACTTTTAAAAATTATAAAACAAATAAAAAATTAAACATTTTTCTATTCATTATGATGTCTAAAGAGCAAAATTTAAAGGA